GACACACATACCAACTTATTTGATGTAACACCAACTTTCTCCCAGATTCACCCATTTTCTCAAGACAATATACATTTTCTAAGTATTAAATATGTAACAATGCCAATGCAAATAGATAAGGAAATGGTTTCAATTTGCCTAATCCTCATGCAATTATAACTATCCTCCACCGGTAGCCTAAAACAAATATCTCTAACAAATAGATAATTTCAATAAAGATAATCTTTTCAAATTTCAAGATGTGAGTGATAATACATATCCAACTCCACCATCCTCATTCGTAACAACTCAATTTCACCATTTCAATATCAACTTCATTTATCAATACAAAATCAACATTTGAGATTTCTAGGGGCAAAAACCCTATCTCCTTTATAAATCATTTCCCAAGGTAAAAACCCATCATTTCATCATATCTCCTTTAATACATATCCATCCACAACCATTCCCAATAAACCATTTGAAAACCCCTCCTTTTGATTTCGAACCAAAACCCGAGATTTGTTCAAAAATTCACTTTTCACAATGTTGTTTTATAAAAACAAATAACCAAGTTAAAACTCATAAGGAAGTGCAAAGAATCCCTACCTCAAGCTTAGAATGTAGAAGAGAAGAACTCAGAAAAACTCAACGTCAACAAAATCACGAACCACTAGGATCAAAAGGAAGCCCTTAACATGATTTACAATCTATCTCAAAGGATCAAGGGAAAAGGATACCTCCAGGTAAGTAAATCTAATGATCTAAGTGGGAAAAGTAGAGTTTAGAGAGAGAGAGAGAAGATAAGTTAACGGTTAAAAAGAGGGGAAAGAGGAGTAACAAATGAGGGAAAAGTGCTTTTGGTTCTATTTGAAGTGACTAGGTAATACTAGAATAGCTTTAAAGTCAAATGAAAAGAACAAGTTAAAAATCCCCAAAAGTAGGGCTCAAGCCGAACAAAAATCAAAAACAGACTCATAGGGTTCGACCCTCGGAACAATGGTGTTGACCCTCAAGAAAAAAAAGTTGTGACGCAAATGTTGGCTGTAGACAAGGGTCGACCCTAGGAAACCATGGTATTGACCTTGTTTTTTAGTAGACAACCCAGAACCAAACAGCAAGGAAAGGGTCGACCCTAAGAACCCATGGTGTCAACCCTATTTTTCAGTAGCAATTTCTAGGATTGAGCAGCAAGATAGTGTCGACACCCCCCCAAACTGGTGTTGACCCCAGAGGCCAATAACAAGACAGGTGTTGACACCACCAACACTAGTGTCGACCATAAATTTCAGTAGCCACACCAAGAGCACAACAACAAGGTGGTGTCAACACCACCAAGACTAGTGTCAACCCCAAGAGTAGAACAAAACAAAGAGAAAAATAAGGTAGTGTCGACCCTCGAAGCCAAAACCTAACAAGAAGAAAGGGAAGGACGATCACTACGGACATAATTTCCCGGATTCAAAGGTGATAGATGGGTTGAGTCTAGGCCTGGATCGCTATAGTTTCTCTTTTGTTATTGTTGTAATTATTTTGTACAAGTCTAGGGCTTTAATTGTATTGAGTTTCTAACTCACTTTTGTTGTAACAAAGCACTGTCTTAGAAAATTGTAGCCAATAGGGCATTACCATATCTGTTTACTCTTATTTCATATTTTTTACTGATGACACATGCTATAAATTCAGGGTTAAGACTTGTAAATGTATTATTGCATGTGTTACACTTTTGTAAAAAGATGAAACCTTATGAATGAGAGAAGATTATACTCAAACATATGTTGTCATTTAATATCTGTTGTGTGATGATCTTATTGTAGTATTTTCGGGGCATTACATATGTTGCATTGGCATTTCATTTCATGTTCATTGTTTTCTTTTGAACTGGCATTGTTGAGATCACTTTTTAAACGAAAATGGTTTTATGGAACAACTATTGTTATTGAACCATTTTTGGGCAAATCCGGTGGGAAATCCGGTTAAGGGGTGTAGTTTGATAATTAAGTTAGCCTGAGTGTCCTTAGTGTAAGATTAGAAACACTCGCTTGTGGGTGCCTATGCCCTCCGATTAGAAGCCGTAAGGTAGGATTTAGTAGTGCTTGATACACCTACTTGCAGACACTAGCCCCGGGGATTTGTCTGAGTCGTATTTACCACTTCTTGTCGATATATGGAAATCAATGGATTGATTATATTTTCAAACGAGCATTGTGCATGAGATTTCCAAAAGAGAAAAATTGTTTTGAGCATGGCATGACATGTGCATCCATCTCATGAGACTGTATTAAATGTATATATTTTGTTAAGAATTCTCTATTGGGCTTTGTGCTCACCCTTAGTGGATTTGTTGCAGGAAAAGTTGTTGTGATCCTGCCAAAGTAGAGGCATGAAGAATTCTTTTGGGAGTACAAGCCTTTTATCTCTTGTTGTTGTTATGTTGATAAACCAAGGGTTATATTTGTATGGGTTAGAAAGCCAATTACCTGTAACCAGGCTTAAGCCTCAAAACGTGTAGCCCATAGGGGTATTATTTTGTGTTTTAATTTCTATTGAATCCTCGTTACATGCTGCCAAATATTGTCTTAGAAATTATGAAAGCATAATTGCGTGTGGAACCCTTACATCTTTTGAATAAATGTCATGAATATACATGTATGAGAAGCTTGATCGAAAATTATATGATTATTTAATTACAAAGGATTCATGATTAATGAGGATTATTGATGAGTTCATCTGCGTTATCATATGTTAACAATTTGGGGGCATTACAATCCCCGATGAAAAAATTATTCTTAAAATAATAAAAAAAATTAAAAATGTACCAAACAAACTATTTTTTATATCTTAAGTATTTTGTACGCCTATTTTTATTCAATAAATGAAATTTTTAGCTAACTTCCAATGAGAATTGTAAAGTTCAATTACGAGAAATTTTAGATCTTTTGTAATTTTCAAATTTTTTTGTAAAAAATAAAGAGAAATGATCAACAAGGCATCTATATAATAAAATAAGAAGGTTTTTGAAAATGTCCTATACACATTTGTCTTACTAAGACATTTGGACGGCTCAGATCTGTTCAAATTATAAAACAACAGTTGTGATGTATCCTACTTTCCTGCTTCTCTCTCTTACTTTTTCTTTTTCTCACCCACCCTCCTATGATCCCATGAATAATCCCATGAATGATCCCATGATCCCACCTTCCCCCTTTTCTTTTTATTTTTTTTTATTTCCCTCCCTTATTTATTTATTTTTTTGTTTTCTCCTTTTTGTTCACTTATTTTTATTTACACCATGCCTTCAGGCACGGGCACAAGCATACACTAGTTTTAGTATATGGCACAAAATAATATTAAAAATTTTAAGAAAACTATTTGTAAAAGATTTACGTGCCTTCACTACAACAAAATGCACCTTTGGCGACTACAATTTGGGGACTGAATAAAATTTAGTCGCCAAATGTTGTGGAATTGGCGACCAAAATTTTTTTTAGTTGGCAAAAGTACAATCTTTAACTACTAATTTTTTTTAGTTCGGCTATATTAATTATTGGCGACTGAAAAAAATTTAATCGCTAAAAATATCAGAATTGGCGAGAAAAAAAATATTTTAGTCGCTGTATATTGAGTTTTGGCTACTAAAACCATTTAGTCGCCGAATGTAAAATAAAAAATTATTTTTTATCTTTGTGGTCGCCAAAAACATATTTTCATAGGCAAAAAAACATATTTTAGTCGTCGTTTATTGAGTTTTGGCTACTAAAACTATTTAGTTGCCGAATGGAAAATAAAAAATTATTTTTTATCTTTGGCAACCAAAAGTTTGGTCGCCAAAAACTTATTTTCAGCGACAAAAAGAAATTTTAATCGCCAAAAAACTAAAATATTTAGAGGGAGACATTTCAAATTGTGGAGGGATTTATAAAATTAATTGGTGACCAAAATATTTAGTCGCCAAATTACTATTTTTAGCAACTAAACAAATATTTAGTCGCCAATTGTTAAGGTTTTGGCTACTTAAAAAACATTTAAGACCATCTCCAACGGTGAACCAAACCTGGCATCAAATTTAAAATTTGGTGAAAAATTCACTTTTTTAAGCTCCAACGGTTTCACCAAATCGATATCAAATCCAGAATTCAGCAAAAATGGTACCAAACTGAGTGCAGGCGAAGCATTTCACCAAAACACTGTTCCTAACCGTTGGGATGAGAGGAACGGGTCGACCATCCGGTTGACCAACCGGTCGCCCCGGAGAAAATTCAGACAGTTCACAAAAAGGTTCAAACCATTCAAAAAAAAAAAAAAAAAAAAATTTGCCTAGGTGGTCGACCACCCGGTCGACCGGCCGGTTGACCACCCGGTCGACCACCAAAAGTTCAAAAAATTCAAAAAAAAAGGTTCAAACAGGTATAAAAAAAAAAAAAATTTTGCCGTTACCGGTTGACCGGCCGGTCAACCATCCGGTTGCCCAGCGCAAATTTGATGAAATGAATTTGATGTTGAATCGTTGGAGCGCGAAGTATCAAATTAAGAAAATGACCCATTTTCGACTCAGATTTGGTGAAACATTTGCTACACCGTTGGAGATGCTCTAAGTCGTCGTTTGTTATTTTCTTTTATTTATTTTCTCCCTTTCCTTATATTTGCCCGAGCCCTTCACAAGCACTGGTTGTTGTCTCTTTCTCACGGGTTGTCGCTCTCTCTCTCTCTCTCTCGGTCTGAATCTCTGAATCTCGTTTTCTTTCTCCTTCACGTTTTTCTCAATCTCTCAATCACAATTCTTTCGAATTCGATTGAAGGTACGCTCTCTCTCTCAAGTTTCTTTTTCTGTTTCTTCTTGTTTTCGGGTTTGAATCTACACTTAGGGTTTCGATCGAGTTCAAGGTATTCTTTCTCAGAAGTTTTTCTGTCTGTTTCTATCTTCCTTCATTTCTTCTTATTTTACGATTTGAGTCTGCGCCTGGTTGTTGTCTCTTTCTCACGGGTTGTCGCTCTCTCTCTCTCTCTCTCGGTCTGAATCTCTGAATCTCGTTTTCTTTCTCCTTCACGTTTTTCTCAATCTCTCAATCACAATTCTTTCGAATTCGATTGAAGGTACGCTCTCTCTCTCAAGTTTCTTTTTCTGTTTCTTCTTGTTTTCGGGTTTGAATCTACACCTAGGGTTTCGATCGAGTTCAAGGTATTCTTTCTCAGAAGTTTTTCTGTCTGTTTCTATCTTCCTTCATTTCTTCTTATTTTGCGATTTGAATCTGCGCCTAGGGTTTGGATCGACGGATGACCCTTGCAATTTCCAGGGTTTTCCATTTCGATTACATCACCAATGGGCGAATTGAAGATAGAAGAGATGTCTCTCCCTGCTCTGTTCGATCAGGCTCGAAAGATTCATCTATCAGCTTCCGAATCTGGCATTGATCATGTATATATGAATGTATTGATGTAAATATTAGTGTATGAATCTCTAATTAGAGTGCTTGATATATATTGCTATGGAATCTCTTAATATAGTTGACCCATCAACCAAACAAAATAGAAAGAAAATGGAAATTTCAGTGATATGAAAACCAACCTGATTGGTTTTACATAAACATACTCCCCTGTTAGCTGTGGGTAATGCAGATTGACTGCAGTAGATATGCACCTTGCAATTTCTTGGCTATTTAGGTTTCATTAAAGCAAAACCACCTTATTCAATGGCTAGGGTGTTTTACTTTCTGAAGTTGTAGGGATGACAGTCTGGCAAAAGATCGATGATGGCAGCAACAAGCCTTATATCTGCTGTAAGTACATGTCATTAATAAAAGGATCTCTACACTTATTCAGTATATGTTTGAATAACCAAAAATACTGTACTCTCGTGTTTTTATTTCTTTCATTATAGTATGAGTATGAGATAAGTGATGAAAATTTCTGTATGCATAATCTGCATGTTCGGATGCCCTTCACCAGTGTTTGTAATTTTCTTAAACCTTGTATACAAGAAATGCTATCTTCCAACTTCCGCAATAAATTCATGTCACACACCACATATTTCTTGACCCTTTGGTTCCCACAAAGAAACAAGAGGTGCAAAATTTTTTGCATCCTATTGACTACCTTGTAAGGCCTTACTTTTAACTTTATGAATGTCACCCTGCTGCTACTCACATAAATTTTTTGTCTTGTATCATCCCATGAGTCTGGTATGCAATCTTCTTTTCACCCTTCTAAAAATGGATTTTGACTTTTAAGAGCCTCACTTGAATGCTAATCAAAAGTTCTGAACGTATAATTAAAATGTTCTATTGGAAGTTAGGAACTTATCTATCATTGTTGAAGACACCTCCAAGTAAAGAAACATAATCTTTGGGAATAACTATGCAAATCTAAGTTTGCAGTTGAGAGATGAATGCGTATTAGCTTGGCATTGCATGTTGGAGGTCTACTACTCTTATGTTGTCTGAACTTGATAGGAGTTTTAGTCATTTTAATTTCAACCACTTACTAGCTTGCGGATTCTAAATAGAAAGATATGTCGATAAGATCACTAAAGGATATGGTTTGCTAGACTAGTCTTGAAAAGCTATATTCTTGTAGTAGTTGAGACATTTGAAGTTTTGGTGAAGAATTGATCTTTATAAGATGGCTAAAATAGAAATGCAAAAGCAATCAAGTAGAAATTTCTGGGAATTTGCTTGGTGATAACAAAAGCACAAAAATATCTTGTATAGCTTCAATTTTTCACGAGTTTTTTTTTTTTTTTTTTGAGATGCCCTTTTGGATGAGTTTTTATCAACTATTGTATTCCAATTACTAATCTTCTAGTATAAAGATATTAGGTTCAAAAATATTTTAGGTCAACATATTGCCTCAATTTTGGACTCAGTAAATCATTTTTAAAAAATTAACAGAGAGAACATATCATTTCTTGTATTCCAAATTTTTTACTGTTGGTGCCATTAATTACGTGCCACTCATGGGTTATTTGAGTGAAACATTAGTTGTCAGATTGCGAAATCTTTAAAAAAATTGACCACAGATGGCTTGAAACCATTGAAGATTTTCTGTAAGTAGTTGTTAGAGAATGCAAGAAAGAATGTTGTATCCATCACATGCTTCAAAGGGAATTGTTATTATTTCAATACCTCAAAATGGTGCATTTTTTTTTTCTCTTCAAAATACAACACATGCTTGTAATTTGAGTTCGTTGTAAAAATCAGAAATTTGGGGACTGTTTATTCTTAGAAGGTTGATGATACATGCATCTCATCAAAGTACAGCTAATCCCAGTTGGGTTCATAGGCAATTTCAACACTTAGCAGATACTAAAAGGTCGTTTCTTCCGTCTTAAAGACAAACAGGCCAGAAGGCCCATCACCAACCGTCAAAGCCAGCTTTACAGGACCTTTTGCACCTTGTTCAGCCGTGTAGTGTCCATTATTAAAGCTCATGTTTGTTTTACAAAAGGCAGGAGTAACTGAATTTATGCCAAAATTTGGGAATTTTTTAGCTAAAAACCTCGCGTAGGCATTAAGAGCTACTTTGGAGACAACATAAGCAGAGAGAACAGACCAGCCTTTAACAAATCCTCTTTAGCATCCTGTAAATACCGACTCACTACCTCATCTACTTTCTATTCTGTGAGTCCATCAACATCACTTATTACCTCTCTTGCCCATTCATTTGTAACATTCTGCATAAAAATATTTAGTTGTATGTCACAGGCTAAATTTATAGCACAGTTTAACCAGCCTTTGAGGGAAAGTTTTTTACCTTTAGACACCCTTCTGCTGTTTCATAGGTTTGTTTTATAACTTTTTTCACCATTTCAGCCTTCTCACCTACAATCTATGTCATTTTTAGAAGATTAAAATCCTTGATGTATGCCATAAGCATACATTTTTTGTTGAAACTTAGAATCTGGTAAAAGACTTACCTCTTCGGACTTAAGCTTTAAACTAGTAAAAGACTCTGCATCCATTATGACTGCGCTGACCCCTGCATTGTTCACCTGCCAAGAATTTACATCCATACATGTTAGTGAACAATTACCCATTAGATAGCTATAGATCAAATTAGTTTCAATCAATTTAGTTTGTTTCCAATCTTACCAATCTGTTGAGCTTTCCGAATTTATTTTTGATGTAATCTGCTAAAGAAGCAATACTAGCAGAGTCTGTAACTGTTCCCTCCATTTCTGAATGTAGTAAATGATAGTGGTGATGAGGATAAGCTGTGTGTAGATAATTTTGAAGTTGGAGATATCTATTTATATAAACATAAGACTAAGAATGAGCGTATGACATGTATGCTGTAACAACATCCTCATTTTGTTCAACTTATTGATGCTAAGTGCTTTTCTCTTGTAGGAGTGCTTCATTTAGCATTTGCTTAAGATCTTGAGTTTACTTGCTTTTCCTGTAATGTTTGTTGTTACCTAGTTGACTTTTTAAGCAGATATTCGTGTTGTCTGCTGTGTCCCCTGAGAAGATGCCACTGGTGTTGCCGAATATCAAAAAAGTTCTTAAGGTAACGATTAGTAAATGCCACTATAAAATTTTGAAAATCCGTTATTGGTATTACTATTATGATCTCTTAATGGGATTTCAACTTTTCTTTCTCCAGCCAAATGGTTATTTGCTTTTCTGTGACTAAGCCACTGGTGACCTTACTCAGGTTAATTTACAACTTATATTCTATCTTTTGAATACATGTTTGTGTGTGTATATATATCTATGTACTCTTTCATTTCAGTGGAGAATGAGCTCTTTCAATTCAATGGAGAACTATATCGTAAATATTCCAGTTGCTTGATTTTCATTGTGAATCCCACAGATAACATTCTAATAATTATTAAATTACTCCAATGTTGTCGTAATTTATTAATTGTTATAACTGTCCGCTACTAAATTGTTATAGTATAATATATCATAATTATTAATTTTATAATTGTTATAATTTGAAATGTCAATTTTATTGAATGAGTGCTAATGGTTTTTGTTTTTGTTTTTGTTTTTTTTTTTTTTTTATAGATTGCTTTTGCGTGGGCTATTGTGGATATTTATTTTTGTGTACGACGAGCATTTGTTCTGTATATGGAAGACATCTATTTTTGTACAATTATGTGTTTTGGGAATACAGTGTTTTTGTATGTAATATTTAATTTAGATGCATTACACTTGGTTGAAATGGATTTATATGATACTTGGAATAAGATGTTACAAGTTAAAGTTTTTAGATAGTTGATAATGAAATGGGTATTATTGATAATGGATTTAGATTATAATTAACAGATGTATTAGATGTATTATTTTGTATTTGTACAGATTACAGGTTGCATTGGTGATGGAATGCATATAATTTAGAAATTAATGAAAAGTATTCAATTTGGGCATTTAAAAAAAATAATAATAAATGGAGCTTTTCGCGACTAAACATTTAGTAGCATTAAAATAAAAAGGGAATTTATTGGTGACTAATAGCGAAAAAAAAGAAAAGAAAGTTTTTCGAGTCTAAAAAATTAGTATCTAAAAGTAGTATCGTGACTTTAGCGACTAAAAAAAAATTAGTCGCTAATTCTTTTGACGACAATCAATCAACGACCAAACGGGCGATCAAGAATTTTAGTCGGTAAAAATCTATGGCGACTAAAAAATGACTTTTGACGACTAAAAAATTTAATTGCCAAAAATGTAATTTATTGTAGTCCTTTTTGTTATGGTAACTAGAAAAAATTTACTTAAGAAATTCTAAAAAAAACATGGAGAATCTTCACTTTGGAAAGTTGTAGATGGAACCTTTTTTAATTATAGTAAAAGGGAAAAAAGAAAAAAATGAAAAAAAAAAAAAAAAAAACATACACTTTCAATTATTATTTCTTCATTCATGTTATAATTAAGTTTTGTTTTACAAAAAATAGTTTTTTTCTATTTTGACTATAACTAAAATTTTTATTCTTCTTCTGTTTTAAAGTATAAAATCGCCTTTATAGTATTGGTTATTAGTAATTAAGAAAAATGAAAATACATAATTATATTAGTTTTGAAAAAAATAAAGAAAAATTGTTAACATGACATATCCAAATCATATTGAAAATATATTAAAAACACAATAGAAAATAAATTTATATGTTTGGAGACTTCTATTATAAATTAACTTTTTTTATGTATAAAAATTATTACAAGTTTATTAGGTACTGAATTGATAAATTTACAACTATTTAACTCATACTTGCAACTCATATTCTATAATGTGTGGATGATTCCCTTATTCATATGAATTAGAAAATTTGAATACAAATATTTTTAGATGAATTAATATCAAATTTCTAGTTGATAACGGAATTAAGTATGAAAATATCTGTATTCAATTATTTGTAGGGTTTTTTATTGATAAATCTCATTTTAGAGGTGTTCTAACTCAATAAGTCTACCAAGAAAAATTATAACCTAGTTAGTCCTATGTATTTATACTTTTATTCCATGAGGTCCTTTTTTTATTTATTTATATTGTTTGTTGGACTATTATACCCTTTATGTCTATTGTTGATATGTATTACATAGAAAAATGATAAACACATTTCCTTTTTGTTGCTACCTCTATTTTGATAGTTACCATTATTCAAGTTTTTCTTTTTGATCAGTTTCATTCAACATTTGTTGTATTGTTTCATGGTGTTAGGGTTTCAAAACTCTTTATTTGGTAGAGTTTTGAAACTCTAGTTTATACATGGTGGTGAAATAATATTTTGTTCTTTCATTGTTGCAGTGAAGCTTTGTGTTCCTCCATTGTCGCTTTGTGTTCAAAGTTTTGTGTTCATTCATTGTTGCTCTATATTTGAAACTCTATGTTTCTCCATTATTGTAAGTCAAAACTCTGTTAATATCTAGTCAATTTTGTTATAAACATATTCTTCAAAAGTGAGATTGGTTTAATTTGGATTGTTGGAATGGCAAAATTGCATAGATTGTTAATGATAGCGATAATAATAAAAATAAAGACGTGGGTGATATTTGTTTGTTTTTAGAGTGATTGATTTTTTATTTTTTTTTTTGATTTATAATTCCATTGTTGCCATTGTTTCTATATATTTTTTTTTATCAATCAATGTGAATGTTTACGTTTCACATTGTTTGAAAGTCTGGTAAATAAGTGTTGGAATGTAAATATGGACATAATTATATATTTTGCAAGATGTGAATGTTCACATATCATTGGTTATTTGTTACTATACTTGTTGTTTGAACAATCATTTTTGGTTACCATTAAACAATTAAAATAGTCATTTTTTTTTCTTTCAATTTTGTTTCATGTTGCAGTTTGAATGTTCACATTGGTATTAATTTAGTTTTTCTAAGGTTAGTTGTATGTTAATTGTAAATTGTGAATATTCACATTGTATTTTGATATGAGTTTTTTTTTTAAATTTTTTTTCGAAAGTTAGTTGTATTTTATTATTATTTTTACTACACTTGTTAGTTGAACAATCATTTTTGTTATCATTGAACAATCGAAATAGTCGATTTTCACTTTTTTTCAATTTTATTTTATATTTTCACGTTGCAGTGTGAATGTTCATGTTGGTATGAGTTTATTTTTTAAAAAGCTAGTTGTATATTAATTGTAAATTGTGAATATTCACATTGTATTTTGGTATAAGTTTTGTTTTATCGAAAGTTAATTGTTTGTTTGTTGTTTTTGCTACTATGGTTGTTAGTTGAGCAATCATTTTTGTTACCATTAAACAATTGAAATAGTCAATTTTTACTTTTTACAATTTTGTTTTATGTTTTCACGTTGCAGTGTAAATGTTTATATTGGTATGAGTTATTTTTTTTAGGAAAATTTACCTATAAATCTCATTTTGAGGAATGGTGATCTATTTAGTCCCACGGGTTTTCTTATAAACCAATTAATCCCATCAATTTTGGAAAGGTAGATTTAATATAATATTTGAAAATTAAATTTAAGGTTAAATTTAAGGTATTAAGTTTAAGGTTATTTCTATTATGTTTCCTTCTTCTTCTTCTTCTTCTTTTTTTTTTTAAGGTATACAGTGTATGAGAATCAAATTTGAAATAAAATTTTATATGAGAATCTTTTTATTTGAAAAACATTTCAAAATGAGTACAAAATGACTTGAAATATGAAAATTTTCAAACATTCCAAAAAGATGTGGGATTTTCAAACATTTCAAAAGGAATACAAAAAGTCCTTATAAGTGTTGAGCAAATGTATAATTTCAAACTGTAACACTCCAATATAAGGGCCAATTTCAAAATGTATATTTTTCTGTGTAGCGAAATGGGCCAATTTCGAGGCCCATTTCGATAATTCGAACCGTTCTCATTTTGGAATACATCAAATAGAACATGAATTCAAAAAATCAAGTTAATTGGATATCGTTTACCCATTCAGCCATTCACATTTGTATTCATTTTAATACTTTAAATCATAATTCTTATTTTTTTTTGTAGATATAAATATGAGTGGATGAATGGGTAAACGAAATCCGATTAACTTGATTTTTTGTAGGCATGTTCTATTTACTATATTCCAAAATGTGAACGGTTCAAATTATCGAAATGAGACCGTTTCGCTATACAACAGTAGTTGTTATGCCTCCCACACAGTAGTCACCCCAAACCTCCAATGTAATGGCTAGATTTTGTGAGAAAAAGTATGGTAGATTTTGTGAGAGTAATTTGTAACCAATAGCAAATACTAAAATAGTACTTTTGTATAAAAAGTAAAACAATGTTAGATATTCATAAAAAAATATTTAAAAAATAAAATATATAAATTAAATTAAATTTAAATGTGGCATATGTCACACTACATTTATATATAACCATATACTTCATTTTTAAACACTTTAAACGCTTTTTTTTGATGTGTTATTTTTTCATAAAATTTATTTGTATGAGATTATTCTTGCTCTGTCAATAACAACTTCGTCTAACTCATTGTTTCCAGGCCAAATAAGTAAAGTAACAAATTGGATCGTTAAAATTGTGTATCATTTAATATGACACATTATGTTTTATTAGTTATATTATTTGATGGGCTGGTGATTATGAATTTATTTTTGGATAAAACACCAATAAATATTAAATAGTAATCTTATAAATTGTTTGGTCTTCAAATTTTTTTTTTTTTTTTTTATGGATTTGAAGGTCATATTCTAGTGTGAATTACATAAATAGCGAAGTATAAACGTGCGTGCATTACGTGTTGAGGGATAAATGTAGGTTTTATCATAATATTAAAATTACTAAACGTAATACTTCAAAAAAATTCCTTATTGTACTTTACTCAAACGTAACACTCTAATGTAGTATTATGAAAACGTAACACTTCAAAAAATTACTTAGTTTACTTTTCTCAAACGTAACAGCATAATATTTCACAAAAATTCTTTAATGTATTTTTTTCAAACATAACACTCCAATCAATGTAACACTAAAAAATTCTTTAGTGTACTTTTTCTAAATGTAACACTCTAATGTAACACACTAAAAATTTTCTTAGTGTACTTTTCTCAAACCTAATAATATAATATTATAAAAAAACTTTTTAGTGTATTTTTCCCAAACGTAACATTTCAATCAATGTACCACACTAAAAAAAATTTTAGTGTACTTTTCTCAAACTTAACAATGTAACATTCTAAAAAAACTTAATTGTGTTCTTTTCTCAAATGTAATATTTCAATCAATATAATACACAAAAATTTCTTAGTGTAATTTTTTCAAACGTAACACTCTAATGTAACACACTAAAAAACTCTTTAGTGTATTTTTTTCAAATGTAACAACGTAATATTCCTAGTGTATTTTTTCCAATCGTAACACTTCAACCAATGTAACACTAAAGGTTCGATGATCAGTTGTCCGTGTAGGAAGTGTGAGAATCGATACTATTTTGTACGAGATGGTGTACGGGAGCATCTGATTTTGAATGGTTTTTTTAAAAAATACAAACATTGGATTAATCATGGGGAATCTTACATATCTCTGCATAGTAATCGAGAGAATGAAACATTAGCTAATTTAGACATTGGAGATGATATGATTGGAATGATACAAGGGGCTATGAGATCTCAAACGTAACAGCATAATATTTCACAAAAATTCTTTAATGTATTTTTGTCAAACGTAACACTCCAATCAATGTAACACTAAAAAATTCTTTAGTGTACTTTTTCTAAATGTAACACTCTAATGTAACACACTAAAAATTTCCTTAGTGTACTTTTCTCAAACCTAATA